CGATTAATTTCCTAACTAACCCCAACCTGGAGTTCTTGGTCCCGGTTCCGGTCGAATTACTTACCTACGTGGTCCCACCCTCGTCCACACACACACACACACACACACACACACACACAACACACACACACCCCTACGTGTACTCAGCCCAGCCATAGACCCATTAGGGGCCAGGCCCACCCTATAACAACATTTGCAACCTCTCCTTACAACAAACCTCCCTATCTGTTCTGCACCATGATGTGACAAGCACCCTATTTCTGATCCCTTTCTTCTACTGCTGAATGGTCCTCAAAAATGCCCAGTGGTCAGGCTAGGAGCAGTTTTCTAGGCCTATTTTTTAACTTTCCCAGATTCTACCAGGTTCTGTGCCTCAGTTTCTCTTAATGCCATGACAAGCAGGAGCCATGTACGGGTTGCTGAAGCATGCACTGAACTCATCCCCACCTGGCCCCACAGATGGAGAACAGTAAGCCCAGGCCCACGATGAGGTGTGCCAGTTGCCCCCCACCCCCATTGCTAGGTCCTCCCTCAACTGCACGACACAAGGAGCCTTCTTGGGTGGGTAGGTGGGTGGGTGGGCGAATTTGGACATGGGGGGGGGGTCCTGCATCTCATGGGCTGTCTTCAAGGCCTGGTGCCTCACAAAGGGACATGGACTAAGAGGAGTGCACGTGGGCTAGAGCACGGAGCCCACGCTCCACGCACCATGGGTGAGACGGCCAAGGGCCCGGCGGGAGTGGCCAGTTTTCTGAAAGAGAAAAGCCAGAATGAGTTGTTGAGAGGAAGGCTTGCTCTTGATGCTCTAACGTCCTTATATCTTTGTCCAAACCTCTATATCAAACAGAAAGTCATTCCAGGGGCCAGTGAGGGTGGGGAGAGTAAAAGAGACCCCGGGCAGCTAGCTTCTCCTACAGGGAATGTCTCCATTCTTCCTTTCCTGTCAGCCCTCCCAGCTGGAGCTCCAGCTTGGCTCTGGCAAGGAGCAGGGAAAGAGAGAGGAGCAAGGGTCAAATACTGAGACTTGTGACAGACAGAGGACTGGGGACCTGAGCGACACTCCCAGAGATAGAGACTGACTGATGTGAAGGAAGAGATGGGGGGGTGCTTGGATGGCTGGGAGATGGAGGGATAAGGACATAGA